TACTGTTTGAGTACTAGTTATAGCATTAAATCTCAATGTACAGCACATTAAGGACAGAGATCCTACATGAGGAGAAAGTGCACAGTGACTCCTGTTGTTGACTTAACAAATTGACACTCTTGTTTATGGCATCAGTAATCACCCTAGGCTCTTGTCATGAGTCGCCAAGGCTATGGAAGCCTTTTGAGTTCACCAACTCTGATCATATTTAGACAAGGTCGTAGTCAAAGTAGAAGTTCTCTCCTCCCTTCAGAGAAAGGTACCTCTTTTTTTTTTTTTTTTTTTTCCAGAGTGTTTTGGCTTTCCATGCCTGTAATACTCTCATGGGCTTTTCAGCCAGATCCGCGTGCCTTAAGGGCTGATTCTGAGGCCAGAGTGCTGTTTAGGACATCTGCCATTCTATGGGTCTGCTGTGTATCTCGCTTCCCATGTTGGATCGTTCTCTCCCTTTTTTAGTCTATCAGCTAGTATTTGCAGACACTAGTAAGACAAGAATATCTTAAAAACAAAATTGCAGGCCGGCGCCGCGGCTCACTAGGCTAATCCTCCGCCTTGCGGCGCCGGCACACCAGGTTCTAGTCCCAGTCGGGGCACTGGATTCTATCCTGGTTGCCCCTCCTCCAGGCCAGCTCTCTGCTGTGGCCAGGGAGTGCAGTGGAGGATGGCCCTAGTATTTGGGTCCTACACCCCATGGGAGACCAGGAGAAGCACCTGGCTCCTGCCATCGGATCAGCGCGGTGTGCTGGCCGCAGTGCCCCGGCCGCAGCAGCCTTTGGAGGGTGAACCAACGGCAAAGGAAGACCTTTCTCTCTGTCTCTCTCTCTCACTGTCCACTCTGCCTGTCAAAAAAAAAAAAATAAATAAATAAATAAATAAATAAAATTGCAAAACCATGATCCTATCTACAAAAAATTATCCTATCTACAAAATGAAAACCCCACAGCCTTAATGTTATCAAATATATCCTCTTTAAATTTCATATTGTTCATAATTTTTCTCACATTTTGTTTGGATTGAAATCCAAATAAAGTCATACCTTACACCAAGTGTTGCAGTCTTTTAAGACTCTTCTATGAGTCCCTTATTTCTTTCACTCTTGTTCCCCTTGCAAAGGAACTGTTGATGAAATTGGGTTATTTGTTTTTTAGGTTTTTTCTTGGTCCAGGTTTCTGATTATATCCCTGAGGTATATTTTAACATCTTTCTCTGCCTTCTGCATTTCCCATAAATTGGTAGTTGGAGCTTCATCAGAGTGAGGTTTGACTATTTTGACTATTTTGGATGACTTTATATGTTGGCCCTAGGATTATGGCTCAAAACAACAGTAAACATTATATTGCATAGTGCCTGGAGGTCTGGGGCTGGGAATGTTTAGCTGAATGTTCTAGCTCAGGTTCTGTTATGCAGTTGCAGTTAAGACATCAGCTGGTGCTGCTGTTATCTGAAGGTTGGGCTAGGGCAGAAGGAATTGCTTTCTTTTCTTTTTTTGCCAGACATAGTTAGATAGTGAGGGAGAGAGACAGGGAGAGAGTTATAGACAGTGAGACAGAGAGAGAGGCAGAGAGAAAGATCTTCCTTCCATTGGTTCACTCCTCTATGACCTCTATGGCCAGTGCTGTGCTGATCTGAAGCCAGGAGCCGGGTACTTCCTCCTGGTCTCCCATGCGGGTGCAGGGACCCAAGCACTTGGGCCATCCTCCACTACCCTTCCAGGCCACAGCAGAGAGCTGGACTGGAAGAGGAGCAACAAAGACTAGTACCTGGCGCCCCAACCGGGACTAGAACTTGGGGTGCCGGTGCCGCAGGCGGAAAATTAGCCAAGTGAGCCATGGCACAGGCCTGAGAAGGAATTGCTTTCAAGGTGGCTCACACAAAGGACTGGTACTAGCTTCTTGGCAGTTTCTTGCCATATAGGTTTTTCTTTAGGGCTTGTTGCTTCCCCCAGAATAAGGATCTAAGAGAGCAAGGTGGAAGATCTGATGTCTTGTATGTGGAAGTCACACCCTGGTATTGTACAATACCCTATTGGTTTCACTGTCAAACTTACTCGGTTTTCGGGGGAATTCACAAGGATGTGTACACTAGGTAGGTAAGGCTCATTGGGAGCCATCTTGGAAACTGGCTACCACCATGTTCTTTCATTGGGAGGTGCATAATGTCTTTTTGTCTCCCTCTTTGTGATATTAGCAACCATTAGAGCTTGGTGGCTAAGTCCAACTGTTCATTAATGTTGCAAAATGATTACATTCTACTATCCCCCTTTTCATTTATTGATTGAAATACTCTAAAAATAGAGATAAGGGTTCAAGAAGGCAAGATAAACTTGGCCCTTTTCCCCTATTTAGTAACTCAGTAGTTCAGTTTATATAGAGAATTCAGGATAAATGCTAGATTCTTTTCCTTTATTTACCTGTTTTAAAAATAAAATTGGCTTCCTAAAATAATCTGATGATCATTAGACTTAAAAAATTTATGACCCCGTAGATTTAAATATATTTGATATGTTTCAGCTTATTGCAGTTAAAATCTTATTAATCAGTAAAGCTGCACATGTTACCTTATATGGAAAAAGGGGTTTTGCAGATGTATTGAAATTAAGGATTTTGAGTTGGATTATTGTGAATTATCCAGCTGAGTTCATTGTAATCACAGGGTCCTTTGCAGAGAGAGGCAGGAGATCAGGAGAAGGTGCTGGGAAGGTGGAAGTGGGATGTAAGGACTGCAGGTCTAGAAGCTGAAAACATCAGGGAAAGAATTCTCCCCCAGAGTCTCTAGAAGGAAGCAGCTCCTCCTCCTCTAGTCCAGTGAAACTGATACCAGATCCCTGATTTCCAAATTTGTAAGAGAATACATTTGTGTTGTTTCAAGCCACTAAATTTGTGCTAGGTTGTTACTGCTGCAATCGGAAACTAGTAAACACCCATCTTTGCCAGTGGATCCCTCTCCAAATTGGTAATCTAATAGGATAAGGTGTTCTGCTCTCATCCGGTACATTTTTTACCCCAGACCAGTAATCAACAATGGAATCCTAGTTTCTTTTAGTGGAAATGCTATTTTGAGAACATTGGGAGTATTCTTGTTTGCTTTTTTTTTTTTAACCTTTAAAACTTAGTTTTAAATTGTAATAAGACAACATAAAATTTACCATCTTAACCAATTTTAAACATACATTTCAGTAGTGTTAACTATATTCACATTGTGCAACAGATCTCTACAGCTTTTTCAGCTTGCAGAACTGGAACTCAAACACACTGAACAACACCCCCTTTTCCCTCTCCTGGATTTGTGCTTTTTTTTTTTTTCTTTTAAATGGAGAAGTAACAGTTTTATGATAAAACCTTTTACCAACATGATTGTTTTCTATTAAATGTGCATATTTTTAGGCCACAATTCCTTGCCATTTTGGGCAACTATCTTTAAATTGTTTCCTATAAAGAATTTCAAGTAGTAAAGTATCTAAAGGAATAACTTTTCTTAAAATGGAGTGAGTTTTGATATTAAAAACAGCTTTAGCTGGTATCAACTATCTGGGGCGGGGGGTGTCTGTTCTAGTCCCAGCTTTCCCATGACTGCACCTGTTGCTCAATGGAGATAGTTTGTGTGACATCTTTCAGTTCAGATGTATAGGTCCAGCTCTCTGGGTCCTGAGAATCTTGTATAAAGAACTTGTGGAAGATAACAGCAATTTACTTGGAAAAGAAATGTATATGTCAAAGCTTAAAGGAGTTCTATGGACTGGTTTTGTTACTATTGACTGGGAAGTGTTTTGCTTTGTTTTAAAACTCTGACTGTTATTTGCCTCAAAAGTTGGAAAGGAGTACATCCTCAATCATTTCCTCTCTCTACAGGAAGTGCTAATATTTCACACGGAGCCACATGTGAAAAAGAGGAAACATTTGGAAGGGATCTCAGAAATCATGTGACTGATGACTCAGGTGAAAAAGAGTCTGATGACTAGTTACTGATCCTGCGTGCATTTTTAAACTTTTGGACATATTGAATCATGTTCACATTTATGGTTTTTTCTACCCTGATTTCTTCCATATTTACTGAACCTGGGAAGCTACATTGGGTCTGCAAATCTGCTGATGCAACTGTTTCATACACCTACTGTGGTAAGTAAACCGGCAACAAGGAATCATTGTAACATCCACTACGTTGAGGGTCAGTTTCGGAAGGAACCTGCCCGCTGCTGTTGCGGAGCACAGGAAATGTCTCTGTTGGAGCTGCCGTGGCTGCTGCAGCCAGCTTGGTTGCGGGGGTGTGGGGAGGAGCAACAGTCACTGCCGTGTGTGCGTCCTCTGCACCGCTCAGAGAACCCCCGAGTCTCTCAACTGTGTGTGCTTGCCCTAAAAGTGCTTCTGTTCTTTGTAGTCAACCGTCTCCTTGAGCTCAACTTCCGGTTCTTCCTAGCTTCAGTGTAACTGCTTCTGAGCAGTTGCCTCAGCACCAAGACTTACTGGTTCTCCGTCCTGAGAAGATAGAAAGGGCCTGGATGCCTCCTGGAGTTGATGTCTGCTCCAAGCTCTGATGTTTGAGGCCTGTGGGAATCATCTTCCTAATTGGATGCTCTGTTGGGCTGTGTGATCTTGAGCAAAGTATACAGCCCTTCTGTTTCCAGTTATTTCAGCTGAAAAGTGGAAGTGATTTGAGAGCCTGTTTTATAAGGGTTGTTGTGAGGTAGCTTTTGGCAGAGGGTCATGTTGAAACACTAATACTGACTACTTTTAAAAAAAATAACAGTGTCCTAATGCTAACAACCAGGCCCATCAGTGTGTCCCTCCCCCAGCTTCTTGTTAACAGATGTACAGGGTCTGGAGGCACAGCTTCACATCCTGAAAATGTCCTGGTTTGGTGCTTCCCACTGTGTTGATCACTATGGGTTGGCTGCCATGTTTAGCCCACTAGCAGGCTCAGGAAGGTTTAAAAGGTTACTCCCCAAAGTACAGTCTCAGAAAGGTTTACTTTACTTCCCAAAGTACAAGTTCTTTGAAATTCTTTTGGAAGGAAAAAGAATCTATAGCCTGATCACTTGGAGGGGATATACAAGTATTCTAGGAGTTCTGAGAAGTTCTGCAAGAAAGAAACCTGTTTAACCACAAAATTTTCCATTTTATTCCATTTTTTGGAGTGTGTATTGACTGTCTTGGGAAACACACTGGCAAATGCTAACGTAAAGTTGATTCTGAGGTGGAAGAACAAGATGTGTGTAGGGCAGACCTTTGGCACATCAGTTAAACCATTGGGACACCCATATCCTGTAATGGAAGGCCTGGTTTGAGTCCCAGCTTTGCTTGTGATTCCAGCTTCCTGCTTATGTGCACCTTGGGAGACAGCAGGTGATGGCTCAAGTAGGTGGGTCCCTGAGACTGTATGAGACTGTATGAGAGACCCAGGTTGAGTTCCTGGCTTCTGTCTTCGACCTAGAGTTGTTGGCAGGCATAAGAGTAGGTGGGAGATCTCTGACTCTTTCTCTGTTTCTTTGCCCTTCAAATAAATTTTTTTTTTTTTTGGACAGGCAGAGTGGACAGAGAGAGAGAGACAGAGAGAAAGGTCTTCCTTTTGCTGTTGGTTCACCCTCCAATGGCCGCCGTGCTGCGGCCGGCGCATCGCGCTGATCTGAAGCCAGGAGCCAGGTACTTCTCCTGGTCTCCCATGCGGGTACAGGGCCCAAACACTTGGGCCACAGCAGAGAGCTGGCCTGGAAGAGGGTTAACTGGGACAGAATCCAGCTCCCCGACCGGGACTAGAACCTGGTGTGCCGGAGCCGCAAGGCGGAGGATTAGCCTATTGAGCCACGGCACTGGCCTTCAAATAAATTTTTAAAAATATATTTAAAATATGAGAAAAAAGTAACAAGATTTGTGACCAGCCATGTACTTGTGGCCTTTCTTCTATTGTGGATTGTTCTGAATTCCATCTCTACTTGTCTCCAAACTCTCTCCCTGCTACAAGATCACTCTGCAGTCCCCTCTTCTAGGAAGATACCTCAGTCCACTTAGCCCCCGCTCCCATCTCCTCCATTTGGCTTTTTTTTTCCACATTGCAATTCTGCCAGTTGTCACATGGTGTTTATTGATGTAACATTTCATACTGTTTAGCTTTTAATCTTTCAGGAACAATAAATTGATTTGTTTTTTGATTTGGTTTTCTGAAGGAAAATCTTACCTCTTGCTCTCTAATGTTTCAAAACCCTACGGTCCTTCCTGCTACCCACCTTGACAAAAGGACTATTGGGAGCCAGTGTAGCACATGTCTAAGCAGGACTCTGCCATCCCCACTACCACATCGCTCTCTCCCCTAACTGAGAAAACCCAGTGAGTCAAATAAAAATGGGTCACCTGTGGGAAGCACCGATTGCCCCAGCTATTTTTGTAAGGGTGTTGGTGACAACCACAACCTGATTCAGTCCCGGCTGTAAGGATGATGTTCATGAAAAAGAAGAGGTGACTTTTCTTTTGGCCAAGGTCTTGGGCACACATGTTTATAGTACTTTAGTCACTTCAGGCTGTCGTAACACAAATTTATTCTCTCATATTTGTGGGGGCCGGAAGTCCAACGCCAAGCTGTCAGCACAATTGGTTTCTCCTGGGCCCTTACCTTGGCTTGCTAGAGGTTATGGTGTGAATGTTCTTTCCCAGACCCATGTTGAAATGTAATTGCTGTTGTGATAGTATGAGGAGAGGACCTTTAACTGGTGAGTGGGGCATGAGGGCTATGATCTCATTGCGAGAGTGGGTTCCTTATAAGAGGATGAGTTTGGTACCCTGCCTGTCCCTCTTGCCCTTCTGCTCGTCCATCATGGGATGATACAGCAAGAAAACCCTGGCCAGATTTGGCACCTTGACATGGAACTTTCTTTTTTTTTTTTTTTGGACAGGCAGAGTGGACAGTGAGAGAGAGAGACAGAGAGAAAGGTCTTCCTTTTGCCGTTGGTTCACCCTCCAATGGCCGCCGCGGCCGGCGCGCTGCGGCCGGCGCACCGCGTTGATCCGATGGCAGGAGCCAGGAGCCAGGTGCTTTTCCTGGTCTCCCATGGGGTGCAGGGCCCAAGCACCTGGGCCATCCTCCACTGCACTCCCTGGCCACAGCAGAGGGCTGGCCTGGAAGAGGGGCAACCGGGACAGAATCCGGCGCCCCGACCGGGACTAGAACCCGGTGTGCCGGCGCTGCTAGGCGGAGGATTAGCCTATTGAGCCGCGGCGCCGGCGACATGGAACTTTCTAACCTGTAGGACTGTGAGAAATAAAGTTACCCAGTCTCTGATATTTGTTACAGACTAAGACATTTGCACATGGCCTTTCCTCAGTGTGCACACAGCTCTGGTGTCTCTGTGTGTCCAGATTTCCTCCTCTTATATGGATTAGGATCCAACCTAACAGCTCCATTTAACTTAAACACAACTTAAATGGCTCTGTCTCCAAATATAGTCATATTCCAGGGTACTGGGGTCAGTAGTAATCTGTGAGGGAGCAAGAATAGAAGCAGGAGAGCTGTTGGGAGGCTATCTGATGAGAAGGGATCAGATTCTGGAAGGAGTCTTAGATGGAACCAGTAGGATTTGCTGTCTGATAGGATGACCCTCACTTCCAAGCATGTGTCCCTCCACTCAATACACGTCAACCTCTTTACCAGCCCTTCTATTGTACTTCTACTATTCTCTGAAATATCCTCACCCTTCATCTGTTTCATGCAAGTCTTTTGAGGTCCACCAAAGTCTTATCTGTCCTAAAGTGCCTGGTTGAATTGAGTTAAATCCAGTTAGTAAGTCTTTACTGGGGCTGGTGTTGTGGCACAATGGGTTAAGCCACTGCCTATGATGCCAGCATCCCCTTTATGAGCACTGGTTCGTGTCCTAGCTGCTCCACTTCTGATCCAGCTCCCTGCTAATGGCCTGGGGAAAACAGTGAAAGATGGCCCAAGTGTCTGTGTTCCTGCCACCGACGTGGGAGACCCAGATGAAGCTCCTGACTCTGCTTCAGCCTGACCCAGCCCCGGCCATTGTGGCCATCTTGGGAGTGAGCCTGCAGATGGAAGATCTCTTTTTCTCTCTGTCTCGCCCCCCCCCCAACTCTTTCAAATAAATAAATCAATCTTTTAAGAAGGAAATATTTATTGATTTATTTTATTTGAAAGGCAGAGAGAGGGAGAGGGAGAGGGAGAGAGAGAGAGAGAGAGAGAAAGTGAAAGTGCTCCCATTTACTCATTCACTCCCCAAATTGATTGTAATAGCTTAATCTGGGCCAGACCAAAGCCAGGAGCCCAAAACTCGATCCAAGTCTCCCACATGTGTGGCAAGGACCCAACTAGTAGGGACATTACCTCCTGCTTCCAAGGGTTCACATTAGCAGAAAGCTGGAATCAGGAGTGGAACTGGAATTTGAAGCTAGGCACACCAATATAGAATGCACACATCCAAAGTGGCATTGTAAGTGCTACACCAAGCCCTTTCCCATCATCCAATCTGTGTTTTGATTGAAGAGCTTAATCTATTCCCATTTAAAGTAATTATTATTTTTTAAAAAAATATTTATTTATTTATTTGAAAGAGTTACACAGAGAGAGAAGGGGATACAGAGGAGGAGGAGGAGGAGGAAGAGAGAGAGAGAGAGGGAGAGGTGATCCATTTGCTGGTTCACTCCCCAACTGCCTGCAATGGCCGGAGCTGCACTCACCTGGAGCCTGGAGCCAGGAGCTTCTTACCATCTCTCATGTGGGCCTTTGGCCCAAGGACTTGGGCCATCTTCTACTACTTTCCCAGGTCACAGCAGAGAGCTGGATCGGAAGTGGAGCAGCCGGGACTCGAACCAGAGTCCATATGGGATACCAACACTTCAGGCGGCAGCTTTAACCATTAAGCCACAGCGCTGACCCCAAAAAGTAATTAGTTATAGGGAAGAATTTATCATTGCTATTTTGTTAGTTGTTTTGTCTTGTAGTTCTTTTGTCTGTTCTCTCTTGCTAATTTCATTGATGTTTTGTTGTTTTTTGTGTGTGTGTTGCTATGCTTTGATTGCTTTCTCTTTTTATTTTGTGTTGTTTTTATAGGTTTATTTATTTTTAAAAATTTGGTGCTTACAAAAATATCTTATAATAGTCTCTTTTAAGCTCATAACAACATAAGTTCAAATACATTCAAAAACTCTATCCTAAAACACCCCACCCCCAACTTTATGTTATTGTCATAATTTACAACTATTTGACCTATGCATCTTTTAATACATTTTGGGTTATAGTTCTTTTTATACTTTCTTTCTTTCTTTTTCTTTTTTTTTTTTTTTTGACAGGCAGAGTTAGACAGTGAGAGAGAGACAGAGAGAAAGGTCTTCCTTTTCCATTGGTTCACCCCCAAAATGGCTGCTATGGCCGGCGCACTGCGCCATTCCGAAGCCAGGAGCCAGGTGCTTCCTCCTGGTCTCCCATGCGGGTGCAGGGCCCAAGCACTTGGGCCATCCTCCACTGCCTTCCTGGGCCACAGCAGAGAGCTGGACTGGAAAAGGAGCAACCAGGACTAGAACCTGGGGTACCGGTGCCACAGGCGGAGGATTAGCCTAGTGAGCCGCAGCGCCAGCCTATTTTTATACTTTCTTATGATATTATGATATTACTGTTTAGCATTCTTTTGTTTCAACTTGAAGAACTACACATAGCATTTGTTGTAAAGCAACTCTAGTGGTTATGAAGTCCTTCAGCTTTTGTTTGCCTGGGGAAGTATTTATCTCTCCTTTCTTAAAAAATTATTTATTTATTTGAAAGTCAGAATTATGGAGAGAGAGGAAGAGACAGATAGAGATCTTCCATCCACTGACTCACTTCCCAGATGGCTGCAGCAGTCAAGGCTGAGCCAAGCTGACGATAGGAGCTTTTTCCAGTCTCCTGCAATGGGTAATGGACCCACACACATTAGCAGGGAGCTGGCTGGGAAGTGGAGCAAACCGGACACAAACCAGCAGTCATATAGGATGCTGGCATGGCAGGTGGAGGCTTTACCCACTATGCTACAACATTGGCCCCTCTGTTCTTTTGTCCTTTTCTGTCCTTTTTAAAAAAAAAAAAGATTTATTTATTTGAAAGGCAGAGATACAGAGAGAGAAAAAAAGATCAATGAGTCAATCTTCCATCTACTCCCTAAATGGCTGTGATGGCCAACTCGAAGCCAGAAGCCAGGAGCTTCTTCCAGGTCTCCTTTTGAGAGTGCAGGGGCCCAAGCACTTGGACCATCTTCTGCTGCTTTCCTAGGTGCATTAGCTGAGAGCTGGATTAGAAGTGGAGAAGCTGGACTTGAACCAGCACCTATATGGAATGCTGGCACTGCAGCCAGTGGCTTTACCTGCTATGCCACAGTACTGGCTCCTGTCTTTTGTTTTTAAAAGAGAGTTTTGTCAGATATCCTTGGTTGGCAATTGTTTTCTTTTGGTACATTGAATACATCAGCCCACTCCCCTGTGGCCTGTAGGTTTCTTTCTTTCTTTCTTTTTTTTTTGAATTTGGATTTCTTTCTTTCTTTCTTTTTAAAGATTTATTTATTTATTTGAAAATCAGAGTTACACAGAGAGAGGAGAGGCGGAGAGAGAGAGAGAGAGAGAGAGAGAGAGAGAGAGAGAGAGAGAGGTCTTCCATCCGCTGGTTCACTCCCCAGATGGCTGCAATGGATGCAGTTGAGCTGATCTGAAGACAGGTCTTCCAGGTCTCCCAAGCAGGTGCAGGGGCCCAAGGACTTGGGCCATCTTCTGCTGCTTTCCTAGGCACATCACCAGCAAACTGGATTGGAAGTGGAGCAGCTGGTACTGGAACCGGCACCCATACGGGATGCTGGCGCTGCAGGCTGGGGCTTTAACCCACTGTGCCACAGTGCTGGCCCCTAATTTTTTTTGTAGTTTTTCCTCTTTCTCTTCTGTGTCTTACACTCTTGCATTGTGTTTAAGGAGCTGCTTGATAATGTCCCATACTTGCCTTAAGTTTTCTTCATTCTTTTCTTGTTACTCTTCTGACTGAAGAGTTACAAGAGTTTCCAGTTACCTGTCTCTGAATTTACTGATTCTTTCTTTTATCTAGTGCGATGTTGAATTCCACTAGTGATTTTTAAGTTCAATTACCATGTTTTTAGCACCATGATTTCAGTTTGACACTTTTGAATGTTTTCTCTCCCTTTGTTCAAATTCTTACTTTATCCATGCATTGTTCTTTTGACCTTAGTGACCCTCTTTTTAAACAAGATTTATTTGGGCCGGTGTTGTGTAGCCATTAAAACCCCCTCCTGCAAAGCCGGCATCCCATATGGACTCCGGTTTTTGTCCTGGCTGCTCCAATTCCAATCCAGCTCCCTGCTAATGGCCTGGGAAAATAGCAGAGGATGACCCATCCTGCAGATGGAAGCTCTCTCTTTCTGTGTCTCCCTCTCTCTAGCTCTTTCAAATATTTGACTGGTGGAGTCACACACACACACACACACTCACACTCACACACACTCACTCACAGGTCTTGAATCTCCTGATTCACTCCCCAAATGGCCACAATGGCTGGGGCTGACCCAGTCAGGAGCCAGGAACTCTATCCAGGTTTCCCACTTAGGTGGCAGGGGCCCAGATACATGGACCATCTTCTACTGTCTTCCCAGGCACTTTAACAAGGAAATGGATTAGAAGCATAGTAACCAGGACTTGAACCAGCACTCTGATAGGGATGCTGGTGTCACAAGCAGCGGCTTAACCCGCCGTGCCACAACACTGGCCCAGTGCACATCTTTATGAGAGTTATTTTAAATTTTCTGTCAGGTAAATCATAGAATTCCATTTTCTTAGGATCACTTATGGAGATTTGTCTTTTTTCTTTGCTTGGAATATCTCTCCCTGATTTCTCATTTCCTTGATTCTATGTGTTGATGTCTTCACGTTAAACAAAAGAGGCATCTCTCTCAGTTGTCATGGATTGGTCTCACTGAGGAAAAGGTCTCCACCAGTTAGCCTGGCCAGAGATTTTGGGAGCCTCCACCAACTCTTTCCCTCCCAAGGAGAATCAGGCAGCTGTAGTATTTGTCTACTTATTTTTTACTGAGTTGGAATGGGAGAGTGAGCCTTGGTATCTACCAGTCCAAGCAGCTATCTCCTCCTCCAGGCAGTTAGCTATACCTGACCCGTCGGAGCACCAGGACTGCTGAGACAATCACTGTGGTATTAGGGTTCCCCAGAGAAGTTGAGATGGTGGACAGATGGATCAGCTCTTTCCCTCCCTAGCATAAGCTGAAAACTGGTATTTTACCTCTACTCACTCTGTGCCAAGCAGAGGGGAATACCAATGATGTCTACTGTGCCATCATTCTTCCCTGGGTGGCTGCACTGTGCCACACCTATCACAGCTGTGAGATTGGTCAACTAGAAGTAACCCCTCTGGGAACTCTATTGGAAAAACTGGGGTGCTGAACATGCAAACCAATTTATTCCCTACCCTGGGTGAAGTTGGGAGGTAGGAGATGTCTATCTGATCGTGTTGTACTGTCCTAGGGTAAAAGTCTATGGAGAGGGGCAGAGTTGTGGTAAAGCCACCACCTGGCAAGACTGGAATTCCATATGGGCACAGCTGCTTCACTTCCTATCCAGCTCCTTGCTAATGGCCTGGGAAAGCAGTGGAAGATGGCACAAGGGCTTGGGCCCCTGTATCCACGTGGGAGACCTGGATGAAGCTCCTGGCTCCTGGCTTCAGCCTGGCCCAGCCTTGGCCGTTGTGGCCTTCTGGGGGAATGAATCAATGGATGAAAGATTCTGTCTCTCTCGGGGAGTGAACCAATGGATGAAAGATTCCATCTCTCTCTTTCTGTCCTCTCTCAGTAGTTCTGACTTTCAAATAAATACATCTTAAAAAAAAAGTCTCTGGAGAGAGGGTGTCCCAAGTTTCCCTGCCAACTTGGATGAGTAATTTAGTGTTCTGCTGGGGTTCAGAAGCCTTTCAATTAGTTTCTGATGTTTCACAAAGGGAATTTGTCTGTAAATTTTATCTTTGTGGGTACAAAAGGAGTCCAGAGCCTCCCATTGTTCCCTGTTGCAGATGTTACTCCCCTGGAGAGAGATTTTTAACCACCCTCAAGTTTTCCCAATGGTTTAATTTTAGTGCAAAGGGCATCTTTTGGGGACTGATATTCAGAATATTATACTTATTGGAAATGATGTATACTAATTCATTGACAATTATCTTTATTTCATTTAGATAACATGGAAATCCCTATTTCAATTAATGTTGAGCCCTGTATAACACTGAAGGGAACCCAAGGTTTATTGCATATTTTCTACATTCCAAGTAAGTCCAAATTTTTGTTTTTGTAGATCAATTAAAGGTTCAGGAAATAGCAATGATGAATAATTGTTTCTAAATATATGTACATTAGTTATCTATTGCTGTGTAACATCATCATAATCTTAGTGGCTTAACATGTTATACATTTGTTGTCTTGTAGTCTTTGTGGGTCAGTAGTCTGGGCCTAGCTTACCTGTGCTGTTTTAGGACCTCCCAGATGGCTATAATCATGATGTTGGCCAGGATTGGGATCCATTCTGAAGGTGAACTAGGGAAAGATCTACTTCTAAGTTCATGTAATTGCTAGCAGTGTTCGGTTTCTGATTAGCATGGGAGTTTTGGCCTGCTCCATTGCCAGCCTGGGCTGGTTCACCCCTCCTTAGGCAACCTGGTGGTCGCCAGCTCCCGAGAAGTCACCACATTGCCGAACTTAGTGCGGACACCCTATCGGTATAGCACTTGACAGTGCAGAACTCCTAGGCTTGAGCGAGCCTCCAGCTTCAGCCTCCCAAGCAGCTGGGACTATAGGCACCTGTGCGCCACCATGCCCAGCAGCGTTGAGTTTCTGAATCCTTCCTGTTGGCAGTCTGTCAGTTCCCGCCATGAGGGCTTTTTCAGCATAGCTTCTTGCTTTGTCAGAGCCAGTAAGGGAAACAGTGAGAAAATAAAATTAACGTTATAATCATTAAGTAGCCTAATCATGAAAGAGAACTTTGTTGTATTCTGTCGGTTGGAAGCAAGTCACTGGGCCAGCCTACACTCATGGAGAAGGGACTACACAAAGACACGGGGGTAGAGATGGATACAACTTGAGATTTCCAACAGCCTCACAGGTATATCCTTCATCAACGATTACCTGTTCTGCTGATAAGTAAAGCTGGGTTTCCAGTATTCAAAGATCTGTGTGTGAGCAAGCCAGAGTAATTTTTTTCCCTTAAAGATGAGCTTCCTAGGGAAAAATATAAGATGAAGAGGGCAGTGTGTGTGTGTGTGTGTGTACTTTTCTATGACTCTACTTTTTATTAGCTTAATGAAAAACTAAAGGGAGCAGTGGTGGTAACACTGGCTACATCTGAGTCTGTGAAAACAGAATGGTCAGCCAGCACTTGTTTGTTGTGTGCAAGTCATGGGATCCCAGGAAATTTCAGTTCTAATCATCATCATCATCATCATCATCATCATCATCATCACCAACATTCTAGCTTATATTTGGTGCTTGCTTTCTACTTTACAAAAATACTTTTACATAAATAAGTTTAAAGGGCATTTCCCCTTGATTTTAGTATCCAGATTACAAAAAAAAAAAAAAAAAAAAAAGCTAGCCGAGAACTCAGGAAAGATAGGCAGTGAAATTGTGTTTTACTTTTACTGAATCTAATTATTCAACCTATATTTTGATACTTTGTCTCTGCACTCATTTATTCATTTGGAAAATATTCAGTAAATAGGCATTATGTTTCAAGTGTTGTGCCAGGCAATGTGAATTCATTGGTGAGACATTCCCTTGATCTTTAAGAATCTATCACTACAAAAGGAGACAAATGTGCAGACAATACAGTATGATGAATGAAATGATAGCAGTAAGACTTAGTGATAATCCAGAGCAAAGAATGATTAACTCTGTTACGTCTTCTTGGCCAATGGTAAAAGAAATAACCTAAATTTTTGCCTAAGACTCTACAATTTCTTTTTTTTTTCCCCTAAGATTTTGTTCTCTGGTCCTGATATCTTTTGCCTTGGATGATTGGCATAAGTAAGGTTTGCATTAAAAAAAAATATGGTTTTCAAGTGCCTATTGCTCTTAGAAACAGGAAAAAGTTTATATTTTTCCAGTCCCAAATAACAAAACAATATGTCATCTCTTAGGGTTCTCTGAAAAGTGGAAGGAATTAGATGTGTTAGAGATTTTTTTAAATTAATTTATTTATTTGAAAGTCAGTTACACACACACACATACACACACGGAAAGAGATAGAGAGTGAGGTCTTCCATCTGCTGGTTCACTTTCCAGATGATTGCAATGGCCAGAACTGAGCTGATCCAAAGCTAGGAGCCAGGAATTACTTCCAGGTCTGCCACGCGGTGGAAGGACCTAAGGACTCGGCCCATCTTCTACTGTTTTCCCAGGTCACAGCAGAGAGCTGGATGGGAAGTGGAGCAGCCAGGTCTCGAACCAGTGCCCATATGGGATGCTGGCACTTCAGGTCTGGGCATCAACCAGCTGTGTCACAGCGCTGGCCATTTTTTGTATAGTGCCTTGCAATTATGACCCAAGTTTCCCTAGAATATACCATAATGTCAATTAGTATAAAGTATGGACCATATATACAGAAATGAACCCTAATTTTTTATGGCTTTATTTTTACTTAAATTCAATAAAAGCTGTAAGTATAACTGAACCAAAAATAGGTTAGGAATAGAAATTATTGTTTTAAGACTTCATAGCCTTGTTAATAAATTGTTTGTATGTTATTAACTAATTAACCAAAAATAAATAAATAATAAATCTAGGTCAGAAGCCTTCCTCAAGGTTATTTCTCAAAGTTGATGAACTCAAAAACAGCTCTATTTGTGACCACGTGATGGCCACCATGCTTCTCATTTCTTACACCTATACATATCACACTGGTATCCCCAACTCGAGGAATGACAGAAGTGCTTCCTCATCATTACTTTTGCTCATATGACTAACACACTCACAGTCATTTCCAAGGCCAAAGAGCTTCTCAAGATATGAACCATTGAGACGTCCATGCAAGACTTCCTTACGTGGAGTAATTAGAGACTGGAATCTTGCTTTGTTCATGCAGAGATGGGACAAGATCCTTTGTCTTTCATTGTTGCCAGAACCACAGTGTCTGATACAGTCTTGTGTCCCCATTTCTCCACAAATTCTTTCTGAAAACAGCTTTTCAATTTCTGCATACAGCCTGGTGTTGGAGAAGTTCTGTTTGAAGTCCATGAAGTAGGCCGTGGAATTGCTATTTGAAACAGATTCAGTGGTGGTCTTCTCCACATCCTGGCATGAAAGTAGAGATATGGGAACAAATTAGGAAGGAAATTTGCTGGTATTTTAGACTCAGAGTAATGAGAGTCTGTGTTAAGGCAGTGGTGATGGAGATGAAAAGGAGGCTAGTAAGATACAGTGGTACTGGAAAATCTAGTGCTGACTTGGTAATGAAAAGAAGGAAATCACATTTTTGTTTTTGGGAAGGTAACTGCGCAGTTTTTTTTTTTTTTTAAAGATTTATTTTATTTATTTGAAAGACAGAGTTACAGAGAGAGAAAGAGACAGAGAGAAAGGTCTTCCATCCGCTGGTTTACTCCCCAGATGGCCGCAACGGCCGGAGCTGCGCCCATCTGAAGCCAGGAGCCAGGAGGTTCCTCTGGGTCTTCCACGTGGGTGCAGGGGCCCAAGACCTTGGGCCATCTTCTGCTATCCCAGGCCATAGCAGAGAGCTGGATCAGAAGAGGAGCAGCTGAGACTAGAACCTGTGCCCATATGGGATGCCTGTGCTTCAGGCCAGGGCTTTAACCCATTGTGCCACAGCAGCAGCCCTGCAGATTTTGAGCTGAGAGGTTGTATGCATATTTGGGACAGGTGTTTAGGATAAAGGTCAAGAGTAAAGATGATTTGGGAATTATCACCTTATGGAATACTTAAAGCCAGGGAGGATATAAAGAGTAAAAATTGAGGAGAATAGAGGCAGGAACCCAAAGAAACAGGAGATGAAAGACTGAGGTGGAGTCAGAGGATGGAAGAAGACCAGAAGAGAGTGGTGGCACCAACTCCAAAGAGAATTCTGAGGCTGGAGCTGGCAGTTCTGTTAAGCACAGCCAAGTTCAAGTTCAAGATGGAAAAGCTGTGGTAAGCATTTGGTCTAGCAGTTAAGATGACACTTGAGACACTCACTTCCTGGTTCAAGTCCCAGCTTCCTGCCAGGGCACACCCTGAGAGGCAGCAGATGATAGCTCAAGTACTTGGGTCCCTGTCACCCACATGGGAGACCCAAATTGAGTTCCAGCCTCTTGACTTGGCCTGGTCTAGCCCTGGTTATTACAGTCATTTATGGAGTGAACCAGTGGATAGGAGATCTGTCTATGTCTCCATCTCTCTTTCAAATAAATGAAAGAAATTTTTAATGATTGATTTATTATTTGGAAGGCAGGGAAGTGGATCAGAAGCAGAGAAGCCAGGACTCAAACCAGTGCTCTGATACAGGATGCTGGCATTGCAGGTGGGCAGCTTAACTCACTACATCACAATACCCACCCCTGAAAATTAAAAAAAAATTATCTTTCAATTATTATGATAAGTCACAGTGCACTATGAGAAGCAATGAATTGATCGGCCCCTGTCCTGACTGTCAAGGAACAGCTTTATATTTTATTCTTCTTAGTATTATCTTTTTCTGCTTAATACTATTGGTTGAACTCTTTACTTAACACAGAATTATTCTAGGTGCTTAAATCCAATTGAAAATTGATCCCTGTTAAAAGTAAGAGTGGGAATAAAAGAGGGAGGAGATGTACAGTTCGGCACATGGTCCCTCGGACTTACTTCTAAGGGTAAAGCTAAAAACCTGCCATGGGACTCCAAATTCCATTAAGTTGGCAGGTACCAATGCCATCTTACTAGTTAAAGTGATCAGTTTAAGTTCATAACTGATCATGAAGATAGGATTAAGGGATCACATAAATAAGACCAAATATCTGCTAATAATAATGGGAAGAATTAAAAAGGAGAAAACGATCAAATATGGGAAGCAGGCCACACAGCAGACTCATAGAATGACAAATGTCCTAAAAAGCACTCTGGACTCAGAATCAGCCCTTAAGGTATTTGGATCTGTCTAAAAAGCCCGTGAGAACATTACAGGCATGGAAATCCAAGACACTGTGACAAAAAAGGACCTATATGCAAGATCTCTGTGAGTGAGATCCTGGTGAAAGAAGGGGCCATCAAAGAAGGAGGTAACTTTCTCTGAAGGGAGGAGAGAACTTTCACTTTGATGATGGCCTTGTCTAAATAATGTCAGAGTTTGTGGACTCAAGAGGCTTCTATAGCCTTGGCAGCTCATGACAAGAGCCACAAGTGATCACTGACATCATAAATAAGAGTGTCAATTGTTAAATCAACAACAAGAGTTTCTATGCGCTTGCTCCCCATGTAGGACCTCTGTCCTTAATGTGTCATACTATGTGAATGAATCGTAAAACTAGTCTTCAAACAGTACTTTATACTTTGTGTGTCTGTGTGGGTGCAAATTGTCGAACTCTTTACTTAGTATAGAGTTGATCTTCTGTATATAAAGACAATTAAAAATGAATCTTAATGAAGAATAGGATGGGAGAGGGAGTAGGAGGTGGGATGGGAGTGGGGGTGGGAGGGCAGGTATGGGGGCAAAGAACTGCTATATTCCTAAAGCTGTACTTATGAAATATATATTTATTAAATAAAAGCTTTCTGTTAAAAAAAAAGCACAGTGACCTTATTAACAAAATATTTTCAATGAGGTAATGATCACAATAATTTCTTTCATTATAAAAATGATTGTGCATCTTTTACATTTGGGCCAGGTAAATAATCTGGAAGAGTTCAGAAAATGCAATGTCTTGAAGTTTCCTTGTTAATTGATAATAGATCATGAGAGAATTTTTTAAAAAGCTATACATTTCATTTTTCATCAAAAGATTCAATTTTATTCTCCAAGAAATCTTTTATCAAAGCTAAAAATGTTGACGTGGGTTGATTGTCCTCACTTCCTTTATTTTCTTTTGAATTTTCTAGCAGAACTGTGACTGTAATTGGAAATTTTATGTTTTCATTTGATATTTTTCTCAAGTTACAAATTTTCTTCTATTTTAGGCATAGCATACATAGTTGTTACTGTGAAACATTTTCTTTGATTGCAATCTACTGGACTTCTTGGAATTTCAGTTTTCTCATCTGCAGAACCAGGATAATAATACCTGCCTTAGGGGTAATTGTAATGATGCAATGAAATTATTCAGAAAAAGCACAGGGCACATTTTAAGTTTATAACAAATATTTTTCTGTATAAATGAGTGTCTTCTTTGGGGGCCAATGAGATTTTTTTCTATTTAAGGGAGAGACATGAATCAATTATATTTGAATCTCTATATATCTGTCAACTCCATGGATTTGCCAAAGCGCAAAGAAATTATCTGCAAAGGATCTGATGATGTGTATTCTTTCTGCAGAGCTCTGAAGGGAGGTAAGCATTCAGTGCCTGCTACTTTTGGAATAGAAAGTAATTCTTTATAAGCAAGCTGTACAAATTAGACACACCAAAAACCTGAAGTTTTTTTTTTTCTGATAATAATTCTTCATTTCCATCTAAAGGTTTGCTTTTAGCAGTTTATTTATTTTTTTAAAGACTTATTTATTTATTTGAAATAGTTACACAGAGAGAGAAGGAGAAGCAGAAAGAGTCTTCCATCTGCTCATTCACTTCCCAATTGGAGGCAATGGCTGGAGTTCCGCTGATCTGAAGCCAGGAGCCAGGAGCTTCTTCCAGGTCTCCCACACAAGTGCAGGGGCCCAAGCACGTGGGCCATTTTCCACTGCTTTCTCAGGCCATAACAGAGAGCTGGATTGGAAGTGGAGCAGCCAGGTCTCAAACTGGTGCCCATGGGGAATGCTGTGACTTAGGCACAGACTTAACCTACTGTGTCACAATGCTGGCCCTATTTTTTCCCTTTTTAAAAATTTGTTTATTCATTTCTTTGAATAGCTTCTACCTATGGTTTAGTAATCAGGGTAAAACTATAATACAGTGAAACATTTTCCCTAATGGGTATGCCCTAGTATACTTAATCATCCTCCTATTGGACATTTATTTTCCTTTTTCTATGTATTTTCACTATTATAAGTAATATACAAATATACTTATATATATATGGTTTTTCTTATATTTTAGTTTTGAATATTATTCTATCTGGGAGAAGAGTTAAGGATAACTCCTAGAAAGATTTATGGCATTAAATGGTTTGCATATTTTTTTTTTATTTACATAATGCTAAATTACTTTTCTTGGGATTGTACTAGTTTATTATTATTATTATTATTTTAAATGAGATGAAGTGATCTTTTTTTAAAAAAAGATTTATTTATTTATTTGAAAGTCAGAGTTACATAGAGAGAGGAGAGGCAGAGAGGGAGGTCTTCCATCCAGTGGTTCACTCCCCAAAAGGCTGCAACAGCTGGAGCTGCGCCTATCCGAAGCCAGGAGGCAGGAGCTTCTTCTGAGTCTCCCATGTGGGTGCAGGGGCCAAAGAACTTGTGCTATCTTCTACTGCTTTCCCAGGCCACAGCAGAGAGCTGGATTGGAAATGGAGCAACTGGGTCTTGAACCAGCACCCATATGCAATGCCAGCGCTTCAGGCCAGGGTGTTAACCCACTGTGCCACAGCACCAGCCCCTAGTTTATTATTATTATTATTATTGACAGGCAGAGTTAAACAGTGAGAGAGAGAGACATAGAGAAAGGTCTTCCTTTTCCGTTGGTTCACCCCCCAAATGGCTGCTATGGCTGGTGCGTTGCAGCCTGCGTGCTTTGCCGATCCGAAGCCAGGAGCCAGGTGCTTCCTCCTGGTCTCCCATGCGGGTGCAGGGCCCAAGGACCTGGGCCATCCTCCACTGCACTCCTGGGCCACAGCAGAGAGCTGGCCTGGAAAAGGAGCAACCGAGACAGAATCCGGCGCCCCGACTGGGACTAGAACCCGGGGTGCCGCTGCCGCAGGCAAAGGATTAGTCAAGTGAGCCGCAGCACCGGCCTATTATTTTTTAAATATTTATTTGTATATTTATTGGAAAGGCAGAATGATAGGGTTGGTGCAGGAGACACAGAGAGAGACAAACTGAGAGAGAAGTCTTTAATCTACTGGCTCACTCCCCTGATGGCTGCAACAACTGGGCCTGGGCCAGAAGCCTAGCATCACAATGCTGCTCTAATAGACATTTTTTAAACTTTTAAAAATTCACTATTTATGTTTTGTTTATTTTTATGACAGATGTTGTCCAACAATATGACCTTGAGAGTGTTAGCTAACCTCTCGCAGCCTCATTTTCCTTATCTATAAAATGGGGAGAGTGAAGCCCTCTTACATGGGTAGTGAATGTGTGTAAAAAAGCTAACTATAGTGCTCAGATTAGGAATGTGGCTGTTCCTGGTTATATTTTAGTTTTTAAATATTTATTTATTTATTTGAAAGGCAGAGTTACAAAGTGGGGTGAGGAGGGGAGGTCCATCTTTCATCTGCTGGTTACTCCCCAAATGGCCACAAAGACCAGAGCTGGGCTGATATGAAGCCAGGAGCCAAGAGCTTCTTCTGGGTCTCCCATGTGGGTTCAGGGACCCAAGCAGTTGCACCATCTTCTGCCGCTTTCCCAGGTACATTATCCAGGAGCTAGATTGGAAGTGGAGTAGCCAGGTGCCTATTTGGGATGCTACAAGTGGCAGCTTTATGTGGTATACCACAGCTTCGGCCCCTACTGTTCTGCCTAAGGAGGCTGCCTAAGGTCCTGTTATTCTGCCTAATGAGGCTGACGCCTGTTCAGTAATGCATCCTGGATCATCTGGAGAACTAAGAAGAGGGCAGCCCTTGCCTCTTAAACCACACACTTTTCACTGTGCCATGCTTTTTCTTTGGGAAAAATACTCTTGGAAGATTGTCATTAAAAAAAAGTACATTTATTTTGTACAACTGTTTTACAGTTATATCACATGATCTCTGTGAGATTATGATTACCTTTTTTCTAAATTTTCAAAGTTTACTTTCTTGAGATCTAAGATTTTTGTCAGACCCAACCTGGTCTCTGCCTGCTTCTTCTCTCACCATCTCTTCCTTCTACAAATATGCAGGGATATTTTTAAAAGTCCATGGAGGGGCCAGCACTGTGGCATAGCAGGTAAAGCGGCTCCTACAGTGCCGGAATCCCATATGGGTGCCGGTTTGAGTCCTGGCTGCTCCACCTTCAGTCCAGCTCTCTGCTGTGGCCTGGGAAAGCAGTTGAAGATGGCCCAAGTCCTTGTGCCCCTGTGCCTACGTGGGAGACCTGGCTCGTGGCTTTGGATCGGTGCAGCTCTGCCTGTTGCAGCCATCTGGGGAGTGAACCAGTACATAGAAGACCTCTCTCAGGCCTGCACTGTGGCTCACTAGGCTAATCCTCTGCCTGCAGCACCGGCTCCCCGGGTTCTAGTCCCAGTTGGGGCGCTGGATTCTGTATCGGTTGCTCCTCTTCCAGGCCAGCTCTCTGCTGTGGCTAGGAAGGCAGTGGAGGATGGCCCAGGTCCTTAGGCCCTGCACCCGCATGGGAGACCAGGAGGAAGCACCTGGCTCCTGCCTTCGGATCAGCGCAGCGGCGCAGTGCGCTGGCCGTAGCGGCCACTTGTGGGGTGAACCAACAGAAAAAGGAGGACCTTTCTCTCTGTCTCTCACTATCTAACTCTGACTGTCAAAAAAAAAAAAAAAAAAAAGACCTCTCTCTCTCTCTGCCTCTGTGTCACTTTGCCTTTCAAATAAATAATTAAATCTTTACAAAGAAAGAAAAAAGGCTGTGGAAGGAGCCAGCGTTGTGGTGTATTGTGTTAGGCCACAACCTGTGATGCCAGCATCCCACATGGGCACCTGTTCATGTCCCAGCTGCTCCACTTCTGATCCATCTCCCTGCTAATGGCCTGGGAAAGCAGCAGAAGATGCCACAAGTGGTTGTGTCCCTGCTACCCACCTGGGAGACTTCTGACTCCTGGATGTGGCTTGGCCCAGCCCTGGCTGTTGTGGTCATTTGTAGGAGTGAACCAGCAGATGGAAGATCTTTCTTTGTCTCTCCCTCTCTCTCTGTAGCTCTTCCTTTTAAATAAATAAATAAATAGATAAATAAGTCTTTAAAAAAGTTTGTGGAAAATGGAATTACGAGATTATGCATATTTTCCGTGCACTGTTCGAAGACCCCTTGGATTTTGAACCTTATTGGAGCAAATCATGATTTGGATTCTCATGATCTGAAGTTGGATGGTAGGACCTTCCTCAGAATATCTCCCTGTCCTGGGAAAGGTCATCTCTGGAACAAAACTTACAATGAACTATAAACAGTGCTGATACAAGTACATGCTATTAATTTTAATTGTACAGTTATCAACTAACTGTGGCAAGAAAACTCAAATAAGTCTTCCCAGAGTATTTTATTAGAATCTGAATCCAAGAAAGTCGGAGAGTGAGGTAGAAGAACATTCCCTGGAGAGGATATGGCTCAGGCAAACGTCTAGCCACGAAAGGATGTGGTGTAGTTGGAGAGTGGTTTTTGTAGCTGAAGCTGAAGTGCTTTTGGGGAACTGCTGCATATGAGCCTAGAAAAGGGGGCAGGAGGAGCAAGGAAGTCACATGCAAAATATTGGCCATCAGTTGGGAGGGAGGACCCACCAAGATTTCCATTTCTGCAGAGAACTAGTGTCCACATGGAAGGGGTGGAGATTGGCTGAGGCAGAAAACTTGGGTGGAGGAAGAGCAGCCAGATGGCGTTTGTGAACCCATAAGGGCTCAGCAAAGATGGTGGTTCCGGGAGCAGTCAGAAGGAGACAGAAGAAAGTGCATTGGAAACAAGAGCTGGCGGGACATTTCCAACTGATTTGGTGTGGCAGGCAGGCAAAGATGAGGTAAACTCAAGCACCACTTCAGGGCTGGGGATGTATGGAGCTGCTACTGGCCCAGGCAGTGCATACAAAGGAAGGGGCTGATTTTAAAGAGCAAGACAACAACTTCTGGTCTATGTGTGTTTTGAGCTCAAAGTAATTTTGGAACATTCAAATAAACACGTCCATCTGGCAACTGCGTATGTGGGCCTAGAGTGGAGAACACTCTGATTTAAGAAGCATGGCTGTATCAAGAGACCCTTGAAGCCTGAGAGTCAAATTTGCAAGTACCATACATACCTAGTTTAAAAATAACTTTTGTTGCTGGTACAAAAATCATATATCTTTAGGATGTGATATTTAGAAAATATGGATGAGCAAAAATAAAAGTTAGCCATAATGTTACCATTTTTTGTTACCACTTTTTATAAACACACACATATCTGTTCCTTGCAAAAACACATTTATTTATTTATTTTTTAGAGGAAAGGTTTATTGTTGGGTGGGAAAGCCCGACAGGCCCCAGGCCCCGGGGGAGATGATGAGAGGGTAAGAGAGAGGAGGAAAGTGTAAGAAAGATCAAAGAGCACGTGTTTGGAAACAGCTCCTGTTAAACCTTTTCTGGGGCAGGGAAGAAGGAGCAGTGAATCGCATTAGAGTGGTGGTGGAGCTGACACCAGTGGTTGGGCCAGGGGGCAGGACCAAAGCTTACTGTACGATGTGGCGACGGGGCCAGTGCCTAAGACGGCATCCGAGGCATAGATCGCACCACAGATAAGACTGCACCATTTTACTAACATTCCCCCTTTTGGAAAAACAAATTTATTAATAAGGAGATATTTCAAAGCATGCTTTTTTTTTTTTTTTTAATTTGACAGGTAGAGTTATAGACAGTGAGAGAGAGAAAGAGACAGAGAGACAGAGAGAAAGGTACTCCTTCCATTGGTTCACTCCCCAAATGGCTGCCTCAGCTGGCGCTGCGCCAATCCGAAGCCAGGAGCCAGGTGCTTCTTCCTGGTCTCCTATGTGGGTGCGGGGGCCCAAGGACTTGGGCCATCTTCCACTGCTTTCCCAGGCCATAGCAGAGCTGGATCAGAAGTGGAGCAACTAGGTCTTAAACCAGTGCCCATATGGGATCCCGGCGCCTCAGGCCAGGGCGTTAATGCGCTGCACCACAGTGCCAACCCCTGTAGTAGACTTTCAATGAATATCTGTTGGACTATCATATTTTAGAATTGGATTGGCCTTGAATCACACATCATAAGATCATGTAGATAAGATTGCACTAAGTTCAAGAAAAAATGTGTTAGCACTCTCAATAAGGACACATTCAGAAGTAAATAAAGAAATGTTTATTTGTGAGAATAGAAATTTAAATGTAGGAGCTGGCATTGTGGTACAGCAGGTTAAGCCACCACCTGTGATACTGGCATTCCTTGTGGGAGTGCTGGTTTGAGTCCTGGCTGCTTTGCTTCCAATCCAGCTTCCTGCTCATGTGCCTGAGAAAGCAGTAGAAGATGGCCCAAGTGCTTGGACCCTTTCCACCCACGTGGGCATCCTGGATGGAGCTCCATGTTCCTGGCTTTGGCCTGGCCCAGCCTGGGCCATTTTTTTTTTTTTTAGATTTATTATTTATTTGAAAGTCATAGTTACACAGAGAGAAAAGGAGAGGCAGACAGAGAGAGAGAGATCTTCCATCTGCTAGCTCACTCTCCAGATGGCCACAATAGCTGGAGCTGTGCTGATCCGAAGCCAGGAGCTGGGAGCTTCTTCCAGGTCTCCCGTGCAGGTGCAGGGGCCCAAGGACATGGGCCATCTTCCACTGCTTTCTGCCTGGGCCATTTTGAACACTTGGGGAGTGAACCAACGGATAGAAGATGTCTTTGTCTCTGACTCTGTCTCTCTCAACACTCTGCCTTTCAAATAAATAAAATAAATCTTAAATAGAAAACACATGCAAATACAATCTATTCATTTACTGTTAAGGAATGTCTTCAGCCAGTTCAGAGAACAATAATTACTATAGTTTTGTATTTGTCTATCTTATTAAAAGCAAGCATTTTTTGTTACTATTGCTTTGTTTGATATTCAAAGCATTTCTATTTTTCTATTCCTAGCTGCCTAAGTTCTCTACTTTGTTGTTTCTGACTAGCTACTCTTCTTCCTGCACCATAGATTATGCAGGGTCAGGCCAATGGCTGTGCATGTGAATAGTGGCTAAACTCTTAGTCAGGCTTCTCAGGTGGTGTGATTGGAAGGACTTTCAGTATTCTGGCTGCCTCTGAAATGTCTCTTCCACTTTTAGGAAGATTCTTCTCTATTATACCTAGCTAAATGTGTAGCAATATCTCTGAAAGCTACAGTTTAAAATGCACATGTCCTTGTTTAACTTGGAATGAAGCATATTAGCATTTTTTTTTTGACAGGCAGAGTTAGACAGTGAGAGAGAGACAGAGAGAAAGGTCTTCCTTTTGCCATTGGTTCACCCCCCAAATGGCCGCTATTGCTGGCACGCTTCAGCTGGCGTGCTGCGCCGATCCAAAGCCAGGAGCCAGGTGCTTCCTCCTGGTCTCCCATGCGGGTGCAGGGCCCAGGCACTTGGGCCATCCTCCACTGCCTTCCCGGGCCACAGCAGAGAGCTGGACAGGAAGAGGAGCAACCAGGACAGAATCTGGCGTCCCAACCGGGACTAGAACCTGGTGCGCCGGCGCCACAGGCGGAGGATTAGCCAAGTGAGCCGCGGCACCAGCCTCATCTTTCATTTGTTATTGAGATCAATGGCCTTAAGAATTTTGCATCCTCTAAGGGATGAGATATGGGCTGATATGGAAAGAGGCTTTGGGACACAGAGGAAGCCATAGAAGGATAGTCATCAGGGTGTATGGCTGATCATTTCTCTACAGTTTTGCTTGGGAGTACCTCTGTTAGTACTAAATGTCCCCCAATAAAGTTGCATTCTATACTACCCCCCAAAATCACTGAATGATATCCAATAACATTTTGTATTTCATATACAGAGACTGTGAATACAACAGTACCATTTTCCTTCAAGGGCATACGGCTTTCTAAGGTATTATTCAAGACTTATTTTATACTTTCTTAACCTTTTGCAGTAACAGATGTGTTAAGAACTTGAGAAAAGCATGTCACATCTTCTAAAAATAGTGTTTCAAATTAAGACATTTGAGAATGTTTTTCACTTTTATTGATATTAGCTATTTTGGTATTTCTTCTTTCTATAGAATATGGAGAAATTGCACAAAAGATAGCTTATTTTCATTTTATTTTCTCCTTCTAACTACAGAGCTAAAAGTAATACAAATGCAAATTGTTAATCTGTTGAATGGTCTTCCCATGAAGGCAATAGGCAATCAGTGCCTGAGGTCAGTAACTCCCTATAGTTACTGTTCATTCAATATAATTTAATCAACTAATATAATTAATTAATTTAATTATATTAATATTAATTTAATATAATTTAGTCTGGACATTCCCACCTTTGTAAAAATAACTTCTGTTGTAATCCTAGGTATTTGTGTTTTGTACTTAGCAATGAAATTTTACATGTGTCACTTTTGGTGACTATTTTAAAAATAAATTTTAGTAATACATATTCTTTAGTTATGTTGTTACAAATGATTCTAGCATTTGGAAACCTCTTAAGCTAAGTTTTTAGAAATTATAAAAAAATCATCTTATAATTGGAAAATAAATGGACTGTATGCTCACTGAGGTCAAAGGCATGCAATATTTCATCTTATCGGAAAATTAGAAAGTGCTGATGAGCTCACTTTAAATGAATTTCTGGTAGTAAGAACATTTCTCATAGAAGGCTTTGAAACAATACCACCTAACATTTTGTATTATTTCTATTTCTGTTTCTTCATTTCAGGGACAATACAGATGTGTTGTAGAAGCCATAGCTGGGAGTGCTGAAGAAATGATCTTTTGCTTGAATTTTACCATCATACACAACCCACGTGTCAATTAGAATAAATGGGTCCTATTTTTGTTTTTCAAAGGTGTTGTTTTAACAGTATCTGGGGTTTGTTTTAATCAGGTGTGGTCAGATATGAAAACATGAGAATGATTGCATAGAGGAGGAAGTTTATACTCATCTATTCCTGGAAACGGGAGGTGTGGTACATCACACAGAGCTACCCAGGGAAGCACCAGGGTCAGTCAGGTGGTGGAGGGAGGGGGGAAAATACAGTGAGATCTCTCATTTTGTTTTCCATGGGTATATATAGGCCAGGCAGAGACAGCAGGTTTAAGATGGACTAGTTGGCTCTGGGGCAGAAGGGCTGTCCCCAGGTTCTGAGTGCAGAAGCCCCAAAGAGGAGGCGGTTGGGGGTGTGGGCTCTGCATTGGTTGGTCTGACTATGAGAGGTGTGCTAGCAGGTGAGTACATCATTGACTGTGTCTGACGATTAACTAGCGCTGGTGGGGGCTGTTCCTGCAGGGTCAGCAAGACCCTGGATGCCAGAACATCAAAGTGCGGAACAGAAAAAGCATGGCTAATACAGTTCTTCACTTAGAACTTTTTTTTTTTTTTTGCACAAGTAGCTATATCAGACCATTTTCATTGCTATAAGAAAAAAACTTGAGGTACCTTAATCCCTTTTGAGAGTAGTGTCCTCTAGGAACCTAACTACCTTGCAAGAGGTCTCACCTCTTAGAGGCTCCACCACCTCCTAACAACAGAGGACCAAGCTTCCAACATGTGTACTTTTGAGGAACACACTGAAGCCATAGCACACCCACACCCACACCCAAGCCATAGCAGCACTGACAGCCCTTGACTCCTTCCACGTCTCTGTTGCAAGCAGCCACTCTGTGGTGGGTTACCAGAGGTGCTCTGCAGTCTCCAGACCTACCTTCCTGCACCTGTTCCAGGGCCCCTCAGTCTCAGTAATAAAGCATTTTCTTTTGTTACAGATTTATTTTTATTTATTTGAAAGGCAGAGCTACGGAGAGGCAGAGGGAGAGAGAGAGAGAGAGAAGAGTGAGCGAAAGAGAGTCCTGCCTTCTGCCCAGATGCCCACAACAGTTAGGGAAGGGCCAGGCCGAAGCCAGGAGCCTGGAAATCCATCTGTCTCCCACATGAGTGGCAGGGACCCGAGTTCTTGGTCATCATCTGCTGCTTTCCCAGACTTGTTAGCCAGGAGATGGACTGGACCAAAGCAGTCAGGACTGGAACTGGCACTCCAATACTTTATGTCCAGGTATTCATCTTTCTCAGCTCAGGGTTAGTCCCTCAGAGAATTCTCAGCAGACATGTGGAGTGTATCCCTTGCGCTTGATATGGGCAGTGGCAGAGCCAAGTGGAATCGCAGAGGAGCCATTCCACATGGAGTCTGGCCACCGCCTTCCTGTGCCCTTAATTTCTTTTTTTTTCCTTTTTTTTTTTTGGACAGGCAGAGTGGACAGTGAGAGAGAGAGACAGAGAGAAAGGTCTTCCTTTTGCCGTTGGTTCACCCTCCAATGGCCGCCGCAGCCTGCACGCTGCGGCCGGTGCACCGCGCTGATCCAATGGCAGGAGCCAGGTGCTTCTCCTGGTCTCCCATGGGGTGCAGAGCCCAAGCACTTGGGCCATCCTCCACTACCTTCCCGGGCCACAGCAGAGAGCTGGCCTGGAAGAGGGGCAACGGGGACAGAATCTGGCGCCCCGACCAGGACTAGAACCCGGTGTGCCGGCGCCGCAAGGCGGAGGATTAGCCTAGTGAGCCTCGGCGCCGGCTGCCCTTGATTTCATCTATTGGTTCACTCTCCAAATACCTGAAATAATAAGGGCTGAGCCAGGCCATAGCCAGGAGCCAGGAACCAGACTCCTGGATTTCCTGCATGGCTAGCAGGGACCCAAGTACTTGGACTTTCCGTTACTTTCTGATACCCAAGTACTGCTTTCCCAGGTACATTAGCAGGGGGCTGGATATGAAGTAGAACAGTTAGGACTGAAAGTGGCCCTCTGATATGGGGTGCCAGATCCTAAGCAGTGACTTAACCTGCTGTACCTCAACACTGTCCCCTGTGTCTAACTACTAAGAAAAGAAAAAAGTTTGTGGGACTGAACTTTTCCTTGCACCAGAACTCTTATGATCTCATATTTCTCCTACCAATCCTGCTCCCCTCACCACCTCAAACAACCAGTTTCACTTTCAATGAAATTCTTAGTTGAGCTTTGAAGAAATTCTTGGGGATTTCCTTGTTGATCATGGGAAAGTAAATTCTCTTTGAGAGGTTTTGAAGCAATTAGCGGCCATCACGTTGAACAAGTTTTCCAAAGTCATTTTAAAATTACACCCATGTTTTTCTCAGTTCTTGTCTCTTTAGTGAATACATAGAATTATTTTCAGAAGCTTCTCTTTGATCTACAAACATAATTAGGCAAATTCCTGAAAATGGCAATTCTTTCATTTTTGTTAGTTTATGCCACACAAACATAATATAGAAAATTCTATGGTTTATGGAAATAGCCTTTTTTTTCTCATCATTGATTTCTTTAGGAAATAAGAAAAGACCACAATTATAATGGTTCACTTGCATGGACCTGTGGCAGTTGATGTTGAGAGATTTACAAGGATTGCTACTCTGCATAAAGAAAGCTGGGGTGACCAATTTTCAAAGAGACACAAAGGCCCAAAGTCACAAAAACCAAGGCACTATAAACAGGGGAAAATATAACTAAAAGATTAAAGCTATATATATATATATATATATAAAATGTATATATATATACACACACACACACTTTATTTCTCAACATACATTTCATCAAGATACTTTTTTTTATTTTTTGACAGGCAGAGTGGACAGTGAGAGAGAGAGAGAGAGAGAGAGAGAGAGAAAGGTCTTCCTTTTTGCCCTTGGTTCACCCTCCAATGGCCACTGCGGCCTGTGCGCTGCAGCCAGTGCACTGCACCTATCCGAAGGCAGGAGCCAGGTACTTATCCTGGTCTCCCATGGGGTGCAGGGCCCAAGCACTTGGGCCATCCTCCACTGCCTTCCCGGGCCACAGCAGAGAGCTGGCCTGGAAGAGGGGCAACTGGGACAGAATCCGGTGCCCCAACAGGGACTAGAACCCCGGGGTGCTGGTGCCGCAGGCGAGGGATTAGCCTAGTGAGCCGCAGCGCCGGCCGATCAAGATACTTTTGTAAGTGATAATGCAAGTTATTTAGGCTATTCTGGGAATTTAGCCAAGTGAATGCAGTCATATTTACATTATTCACTAAAGAAAAGTGGGTGCCCTTTAATTTTTTTTTAACATTAGCAAACAAAAAATGTCAGAAGTCGCCAAAGTAGGAGGATGTCCAAAGATTCACCATCAAAACTCACAAAATTTCCATTGTTTGAGGAGACAAATGAGCAAAAGTGTTATGGTGGAGAAGGGCTGTCTGGTGAAGGTTTCTTGGGCATTTTTCTGCAAAAGCTTTAGGTAACTTTCTTTTCTCGAAACACTCTCCTGATAAGCAGATATCATTGTTCTTTGTCCCTCCAGAAAGCCAACAGGCAAAATGCCTTGAGCTTCTGAAAAAGCTGCTAGGATGCCCTTGCTCTTGTTGGTCTGCTCTTGCTTTGGCTGGAGTACTTCCTCCGTTTGGTAGCTGTTGCTTTGATTGTGCTTTGTCTTCAGGGTTGTGCTGGTAAGTCTATGCTTCATCTCTTGTTAGGATTCTTTGAAGAAATGCTTCAAGATTGTGATCCCCTCTTGTGTAGAATTTCCATTGATAACTCTGCTGTTTTCTGCGGCTGAGCCAGGCACAATAGCTTTGGCACTTGTCAAGCAGAAAGTTGGCTTCACTTCAGTTTTTCAATCAGAATTATGTGAACTGAACCAGTTGAGATGTCTGTAGTGTTGGCTTTTTCTTCTTCTTCTTCTTTTAATTTACATACAAAATCCAGGATACTCTTGGGACAACTCCCTTCCCCCCTACCCAAAACAAAACAATGAATAGGATCACTGGGGAGCTTAACGACTGCCTTGCTTCACTCTGGGATGCTGGGGTCAACCTTATCCAGAGGCTCATGGTGACAGTTCATGAGCGAATTGTAGAGTTCTTCACTTTTTGCCATTAATTGTTTAATTCTTCAATATTCAAATGAAGATTGAGATCGTCTAGTGGGTCTTCATCTTGGTTTTCGGCCACAGCTGTGGCTTCCTTGGGCATAACCAAAACTCCAGCTGCAGATTCTGGGGTCTCATGTGTACAAAGGACATTCCATCAATTTTTGCCAACTGCACAGCCATAGCTGTAGCCAGGGAGAGCATAGCCACTTGCTATCACTCATACCAGCTGCCATGGAGGTGCCCGTGGCCCGGCTGGAATTCCAGCTTCAGCCTTTGCTAGTAGCGGTATTGATTGTTTTGTTGAGTTCAGCCCAAATCTGCAAAACTCTCCCATCTGGCCATTTACCCATGAGCTTTCCTGGAGAGCAGAATCCACAGTTTTTAACCCTGCATCAAAACTTCAGCTGGTGGCTATTTCTTCTGTTAATCATTGGTCCTCTTCAACAAGGGCATGGACAAGATTAAATTTTTCCTCCTAAATTGATGTGGATGGTCTGCCACTGTGGGCTTCTAAAACACTGTCTCTTCCATTCTCAACACAAGTTACCAGTTTGTAAATTTACTATTTCTTTGGGGGGCATTGTAATAGTTTATGCAGGATTTGGCTCATGAAAATGTTTAAAACCCAAAGTCTATGGTAACAGTTACTGGATTAATATGAGTGGATTAAGAATGGAGACTTGTTACAACAGTAGTGTCTGGTAGGTGGGCCTTCTGGGAGGTCTTTAGGTCATTGGAGACTGACCCTTGGAAAGTGGTTCTCATGAGAGCATTGATTGATAATGCAATTGTGCTTCCCCCCCTTTCTGCTTCCTGGCTCACCAAGTACATGTGTCCATCCTTGTCATCCTGCAGCTTTCAGATGGCTGAATTGGTGGGGCCCACCTGATCTTGTAATATAGTGCTAAACACGCACTGTTACCTCATTTAGTTTTCAGACAAATTCCAAGAGG